TCGTCAGGATGGACCCCTTCTCGACGAGCGAGTCGTGGCAGCCCAGGTTCGCCGCGCAGACGTCCGCGGCGCGCCGCGCGCCCGTCAGGTTGCCCGCGTCCGGGCCGACCTGGAGCGTCGCGAGCGCCCCGACGACGAAGAAGCGCTCGTCGCCCCAGGCCAGGTCGTCGTCGAGCGCCGGCAGGCCGTCGACGACGGGCAAATTGAAATCCCTCGCGGCGGCCGCGAGCAGAGGCACCGATTCGACATCAAACTCCGAGCCCGTCGCGAGGATCACCCGCGTCGCGTCTACGGGGGCGCCGCATGCGAACGTTACGCGCAGCTTCCCGGCGACGTCTTCCACCTTTACCGCCGCGTCGACGCGCCGCTCGAAGCCGCCGCGCTCCGCCGCCGCCTCGAGGTCCCGCACGTAGCACGGCGGCACCGTGGCCCCGCCGCCCCGCGCGTCCTTGACCCAGGCCCGCCGCTCGTGCAACGGCTTGCCCTGGAAGGCGAAGAGCCGCCCCCGCGCGTTGCCCTTGGCCGTCGACCGCGGGTTCATCCACTCCAAATCGAGGTCGTAGTGGCGCTCGCTCAACGGCCGCCGGCTGCACGCGACGACGCGCCCCGCGCCGCGCCGCGCCGCGCGGAGGGCCGCCTGGGCCGCGCTCAGGCCGCCGCCGATGACGAGCACCGTGTCGCCGCGGGAGAAGGCGAGCTTCCCCAGCGCGCGCCAGTCGTTCGTGTGCGTGACGAGAGGATGGTTCTCCGGGAACTCGGGCGGCGCGCGCGGCGTCATCGCCGCGCCGAGCGCGAAGACGACGGACTTGGCGCGCACGGACGGTTGTTGTGTGATAGCAACATCATAAACGTTGGAGGCTTTGGTGATCTTCGACGCGACGCCGCGGACCATGTCGTGGGGCAACGTCTTCGCCAAGTCGGCGCAAAAGTCCTCGTAGAGCGTCGCCCCGGGCAGGCGGAAGAGGCCCGCGTTGAGCTCGACGAGGTGTTTCAAAGATGACCCCGACAGGTCCAGCGTCCGCAGCTCCGCGTCGCGGCCTTTCCGCCACGCGTACTCGCAGAGCGCGTTCGGCGAGTAAAAGTCCGGGTGCGCCCAGGCCGGCGACCGCAGGAAGCCGATGTCGAGCGCGTCGAAGCGGCCGCGCCAGTCCGCGAGGAACGCGCCCGCCGGGTCGACGACGCAGACGCGGATGGGCGCGTCGCGACCGTGGGAAGCGTCGGAGCTCGTCGACCGCCGCCGCCGCAGCTCGATGCCCTGCTGGTGGTCGCTGAGCACGCCGAACTGGTCGTGGATCGCCGACAGCAGCGTCAGGCCCGCCGGCCCGCCGCCGATGATGCAGACGTCGTACTCGGCGGCCATTGCACGCGCGCGCAGCAAGAGTTTCAATACGGCCGGCTTCGGGTGAGGGCGCTTCGCAGAGGCGCGCGCACCGAGGCGTCGGCGAGCCGCTCGACGCCTGGCTCGACGTCGACCGTGACGTCGGCTTGAACGGTCCCACACAGCTGCAGGCGTCCACACAACCAGGACCATGCAGGGACACGACTATATTAATAGGGGACATACAACGGGAGGGTCAGAGCGACGAGCCGCTCGGGCGCGGCTCGAAGCTCGCGAGCTCCGCGTCGAGCCTCCCCTCCTCGTTCGGCGTCGCGAAGTAGGGCTTCGTCGGCAGGAGGTGCTCGTCGACGTGGTAGGCCCAGCAGGCGCCCATGAGCGCCAGGAGCCCGAGGCAGCCCGCGATGATGGCAAAGGCCCAGGCGACCATGACCGGCGCGTAGACCTTGCGCACGAACCGCTTCGCCTGGTCCGCGGTGATCTCGTCGCCGTCGTCGATCCAGAGGTGGGGCCAGGCGTAGGCGGGCTCCCGCGCGAAGACGTTCGCCCAGAGCGCCGCCGACTGGATCGCCGCGTCCAGGTTCCAGTTGTACTGGACGCGCTTGTGGCCCTCGATGAAGACGCCCGTGATCGGCTCGACGGCGACGTAGGAGCCGTGGGACCGCTTCGAGTAGTCCGGCAGGCCGTCGAAGAGGTCCTCGCGGAACCGGGCCTCGACCTTGCCCAGCGCCGGGAAGGACACGGCCGCGGGCGCGCCGCCCTGCGTCGTCGCCATCGGGGCGACGTACGCGGGCCCGGCCATGCGGTAGGCCGCGTTGGATCGTCGCAGGGGTCGTAGGCGCAGTCGCCGCTGTAGAACTGGTCGTCCTCGAAGACGTACTTGCCCGCCTTGACCTTGTGGATCGTGACCTCCTTGTCGTGGACGAGCGTCAGCGGCCGGAAGACCTCCGTGGACCAGATCTCGATGGCCTTGCGGTTCTGGTGGCGGAAGGGGCCGACCTGGGACGTCGACAGGCCCGCCATGGTCACGGCGTCGAGCCACACCGCGCAGGACTCGTAGCCCTGGGACGCGTACGTCGCGCACGTGTAGGACGACCCGTCCTTGTTCGGGATGTCGGACCGGTCCTCCACCTCCGTGATCCCGCGCCAGAGCGTGTACTGGCCCACGTCGTCGAGGTGGTCCTTGCCCGTCTTCAGGCCGTAGGTCAGCGGCGCGCCCGCGGCCTCCTGCGCTTCGATGTCGTCGTACTGCTTGCCCATGACGCCGTTGTAGGCCAGCGGGCGCGTGGACAGCTCCGGCGGCACGAGGGAGAAGATGACGTCGTCGTAGCCGAACAAGATCTCCCGCGCCGTGCGCCGCGTGAAGAGGCCGCTGTTGTAGCGGCCCGTGCCGTCGCTCCTGAGCGCCAGCGACCCGGGGAGCAACCCCGCGGGGTCGGCCAGCGCCGTCGTCCAGTCCCGCTCGTAGCCGACGACGGCGCCTTTGAGGAAGAAGCTCTCGGGCAGGTAGGAGAAGAGGTAGGCGGCGTAGAGGTCCGCGTTGGACGCCGTCAGGCCCGTGGCGACGTACGTCGGGTCCGCGAAGACGGAGTAGTCGCCGAGCGACGCCGCGTAGAGCCCCGTCGCCAGCCCGAGGCTCAGCGTCGCGTTCGCGTAGACGCGCAGGAAGGCGTTGGCCTCGGCGGTGTCGAGCGCGACCGGCGCGCCGACCGCCGCGGCGTAGGCGCCGAGCTCGGGCGCGACGACGACGGCGTCCGCGAGGCGCAGCGACAGGACGCTGCCGACGCCGTAGAGCGCCGCGGTCAGCGTGCCGTTGGCGAACTGGAGGTCCCGCAGGTCCTCCCAGGAGGCCGCGGCGGTCCCGGCGGGGAGCGCCGCGGCGACGGCGCCGAGGTAGTAGGGGTTGCTCTCGTCGATCAACGCGCCGAGCCAGGCGAGCACGGCGGCCGCGTCGCCGGTGCCAAACGCCGCGGCGACGGCGCCGTAGGCGTCGGCGTCGCCGCCGAGCGCGCCGAGCCAGACCTCGTAGCCCGCCGCGGTCAACAGCGAATACGGCGTCGCCTCGTTCCAGAGCGCGACGTAGGTCCCGTTGCCCACCGCGCCGACGTCGAAGGTCGTCAGCGACGCGTCGAGCGTGCTCAGGCTCGCGCCGACGACGGCAAAGGCGCCCCACTGCGCCGCGACGGACGCCGCGTCGGGAAAGTAGGCCGCGTAGCCGGACAGCAACGTATCCCGCACGTTCGCCAGGTACGTCGGCACAGAATAATAACGCACGCCATCCACAAAACCCTCGAGCAGCGCGACGACGTTCGCGAGCACGACGTAGCCCAGGCCCGTGAACAGGGCCGCCTCCGAGCCCCCAAAGTCCGCTATAGCTCCCAAATACACGGGGTTGATCTGCACGAACTCCGACGCGTTGAGCCGCGCGGCCTCGCCGTCGTCCGCCGGGTAGTAGTTCCACCAGCTCCCGTAGGTGTAGCTCGCCCGGTCGTCGACCCACTCGAGGTCGTAGCACTCCTCGACGTACGTCAAACGGAAGCTCACTTCGTCGAACCGGGGCTTCGCGCCGGCCTCGAGCACGTCCAGCAAGTTCGTCACGTTCCAGAGCTTCACGTCGTAGGGATGGTCGATGCCCGTGTGCTTGTCCGCCCAGGCGTCGTAGCTGTCGACGACGAGCGCGCTCCGCACGCCCTCGTTGCGCAGGTACGTCACAAGCGGCACGAGGCCGCAGCCCGCGATGCAGAGCACGGAGCCCGCGGCCGTGAGCGGGGCCCAGAACCGCCGCGCCATGGCCGACGCGGCGCGCGGACGCTCTCGAAACACGATGCGCCTAGGGGGGCGTCGTGGATGCCATCAGTTCCCACCGCTTGGCAGCCCGGGCGCCAAAAATCGAGCTCATCAAACCCACTTGCAGGAAACCTTCAATGGTGTTGGTTAAGACGACTTAGGTCCTGGAGGTGCTCTTAGTGCTCATTTAATTTTCTTTGTGACTTCCTGTCTCGAGGGCGCGGCTCTTCGGTCGGCTCGCTGTTCGAGGCCCTCCCGGCCGGCGCCACGGACCGTCTGGGGAAACCATGCTGGAGTTCCCCCTCCCGGACCCTATGGAACATGCCAAAATGCAAGGGTCCGCCCTGTGGGAGATAGGCGTTCCAGAATTGGACGGCGCAATGGAGGGTACGTGGGAACTTTCCCCGTGACCTCGCGAGGCCTCGAGCGAGCGGGAGCGCAAGCTCGGTGATCGACTAGTACTCGTGCTCGACTGCTCCTTTTCGAGCCGCTCTTGCTTGAAGCGAGGCAGCCACCTCCGTCGACGTCGTGCTCGACGCCGCCAGGAGCGTCCGCAGCCATGCGGTCGTCGTCCATGTATCTGGCCGTCCTGGTCTGCGGCGTCGCCGACGCCTTCGTGGCGCCGCGGCCCGCGCCGGTCGCGCAGGTGCTCCGGCGGAGCAGCAGCGAGGAGTCGGCGCGGGAGGAGATCGCGCTGCGCAACGAGGAGTCGTCGGATTCGCTGCCGCCCGTGTCGAGCAGCTACCAGCCCGTGGCGGCGCCGAGCCAGCTGGCGCTCGCGGGCCTCGTCGCCGAGCGGTGCCTCGGCTTCGCCGCGGACCGCCTCGGCGACGCCAACTACCGGCGGCGCGGCGCGCGGCGCGGCCGGGGCGAGCGCGTCGTCGTGCTCGGGAGCGGCTGGGGCGCCGCGGCGCTCGTGTCGGCGCTGGGGGAGAGCTACGGCGGCGGCGTGACGGTCGTCTCGCCGCGGAACTACTTCCTCTTCACGCCGATGCTCGCCGGCGCGTCCGTGGGGACCGTCGAGTACCGGTCCATCTGCGAGCCGCTCCGGTCCATCAACGGCGCCGTGGATTATCTGGAAGCGACGGCGACGCGCATCGACGTCGAGCGTAAAGTGGTGGTCTGCGAGGCCGTCGTCTGCGAGGGGTCGCAGTGCTCCATCGACGAGTTCGAGGTCCCGTACGACGTCGTCGTCTGCGCGACGGGCGCCACGACCAACACCTTTGGGGTGCCGGGCGTCCGCGAGCACTGCCTCTTCCTCAAGCAGATCGCGGACGCCGACGCGCTCCGCCAGGGCCTCGGGAACTGCTTCGAGCGCGCGAACCTGCCGACGCTCAGCGACGCCGAGCGGCGCCGCGCGCTCTCCTTCGCCGTCGTCGGCGCGGGGCCCACGGGCGTCGAGTTCTGCGGGGAACTGCTCGACTTCCTCGAGTCGGAAGCGTTAGCCTTCTACCCGAAGCTCGTCGGCGAGGCGTCCGTGACGTTGCTCGAGGCGACGACGACGGTGCTCGGCGGGGCGGGAAAAGAGAACTTCCCAACTTCAAAGGCTCCTCTCTCGGCCGTTTTCCACTCGTTTCGGCTGATTTTTGGACGAGCGATCATCTCTCGGAACGGTCTCGACGCGTGGATGCTTTTTTTCCGGAACGCGCGCGCGCGGAACGCTCGCGTCGAAGCGACGTTGCATCTCTCTTGTCCCGCCCAGGTGCTCGGCGCTTTCGACGCGTCGCTGCGGGACGTCGCCGTCGGCGAGCTCGAGAAGAGCCGCAACGGCGGGGGCATCAAGGGCGTCGACATCCGCCTGGGGGCCGCGGTGACGGAGGTCAACGGCACGCACGTGCTCCTCGGCGGCGACGACCCGCTGCCCTACGGCCTCTGCGTCTGGGCGACGGGCAACGGGCCGACGCGCGTCGTCACGGACACGCTCAAGGCCCTGGGCGCCGACGGCGCCCAGGGGGACGCGCAAGCCTGGGCGCGGGGCCGCTTCGGCGTCGACGCGTGGCTTCGCGTGCTCGGCGCGCCGCCGGGCGAGGTCTTCGCCATCGGCGACTGCGCGGCGGACGTCGTCGACTTCGCCGCGGAGACCAAGGCGACGCTCCCCGCGACGGCCCAGGTCGCGGCCCAGCAGGGCGAGTACCTCGCGCGGCTGTTGAAGTTGGGCCCCGACTACGACCTCGCAAAACCCGAGCCGTCGCGGCCCCGCGGCGCCGCGGACGACGACCGCCGGCTCGACGAGCTCTTCTGCGACGAGCGAAACGGCCACCTCGTCGCGCGGCCCTTCCAGTTCCTCAACCTCGGCATCCTCGCCTACGTCGGCGACGGCAAGGCCCTCGCGCAGGTCGCGCTCGGCGACGGCGACCTGGGGGTCAAGGCCGCGGGCCGCGCGGCCTTCGGCCTCTGGCGCTCCGTCTACATCTCCAAGCAGGTGTCGCCGCGGAACCGCCTCCTCGTCATCGGCGACTGGCTCCGGACGCGCGTCTTCGGCCGCGACATCACGCGCTTCTAGGCGGCCGCTAAAGCACGAAGTGTTAGGACGCTGGGGATGCGAGAGACGAAGCTCGGAGAGGTGGGGGGAGAAGCGAGAGACACGACACATCACAGTCCAACAGCGTGGGGGAGCGGGAGACAGTCCGCGGCGCGAGGCCATCAGGCCGATGCGGCGAAGCGCCGCGCCCAGTCCGCGAGCGGGTCCGCGCGCGTGAACAGGCCGGGCGAGAGGCGGTCGTGCGCGCAGGCGCCGCCCGCGTGCCTCGCGCGGTACGCGTCGACGGCGGCCGCGGAGGCCGCGTCGACGAGGATCGTCGCGTTGAGGCTCGTCGGCCCGACGAGGCGCGTCCCGCTCTTCTTGTTGCGGAAGGTCAGCGGCCCGCGGTCCGCGTAGCAGGACTTCAGATCCTGCGCCGCGTCGTAGGACGCGCCGCGGAGCGCGCACTTTTCGGCGATGCCGGCGTCGATGGACGCGCGGTCGAAGTTGAAGGCCCAGTAGGGCGCGTCGCAGTGGCGCCGCTGGTAGTGAAACGCGCGCGCCGGGTGGCTCCGGTGGTCGGCGCCCGCCTCGGCGGGCGAGATGGACGCCGCGGCGCCGCCGCGGCACGTCTCGCAGTCCGCGTACTTGAAACCCTGCGGCGTCGCGTACCGCACCCGATGCACGGACCTCCCGCAGTACTCGGCGGGGTCCCGCGCGGCTTTCTCGAGGGCCGGCGCGCCGCAGGCGCCCGCGGCGACGGCGCCGCCGTCCGCGTCGACGTAGGCGAGGTTCGCCACCGAAAAACGGCTCTCGACGTCGCGCGCGCGCGCGACCATGGACACGAAGCCCGCGGTGAGCCGGTCCACCACGAAGCACTCGGGGCCCGCGCACCGCGTCTTCGCGCGCACGGCCACGCCCGAGACCTTGTAGGCCACGAGATCCGTCCAGGTCGCCGCCGCCGCGTCGTTTCTCAGAGACGCGGGGCTCCACTGCGGGTAGACGTGGAACGCGATGCGCGTCGAGTGCGCGACGTTGCCCGCGAAGGTCCCCGGCCGCGCGAACTCGAGGTGCAGCGCGGACGTGTTCTGGTAGAAGAGGTTGCCCCGTTGCGCCCTCACGTGCGGCGGCGTGTCCCCGAGGAACGCGCGGCGCGCGGCCTTGTAGGGCCCGTTCTTGTAGGACGTGCCGTGGTCGCCGAGCGCGTCGAGCCACCCCACCAGACGCTCGTCGAGGCCCGCGCGGCGCTGCTCGTCGGGCCGCCGCACGAGCGGGCCGGCGAAGACGGGGTAGACGGAGAACGCGGACCGGTGGCCGCCGACGGCCGCGTTGCGCAAAACGTCGTTCTCCGGGTTCGCGAACCAGAAGATCTCCGCGTGGCCGTCGTCGCGGCTCCCGCAGGCCTCGATGGTGGCCCCCACGCCGAAGCTGCAGCCGCCGGCGCCCGCGCACCGGGCCCCGGGGCAGGCCCAGGGCGGGTCCGGCGGCCGCGCGCCCGCGCCGAAGTTCTCGACGACCGCGTTCCTCAGCTCCAGCCCGTTCTCGAAGACGTAGACGTGGCCCTGCGCGTCGTGGGCGACGTTGAAGGCGAAGAGCGCGTCGCTCGTGCCGTGGACGACGAGGGACCGGTGGTGCGTGCCTGTGCCGAATTCAACCACTGGTTTGGGTGGTCCTGACCAAACTTGAGAATTCTCTAGCTCGGTCACATCGAAGTCGATTCGGCTGATTTTTGGACGAATCGATTGCTCTCGTCGAGTTCTCGAAGCACAGCCGAAAAGGTTGCGTCGAAACTGTCGCGTACGCTCACATTGAAGTCGAGTTGAAGATTTGAATTCGGCACAGGTGCGTGCCGTGGACGGCGTTGGCGACGAACGCGAGTGTCGACGCGTTGCCGCACATGTGCGCGTGCAGGGGATACTTGCCGAGCGTCGTGTGCGCGCCCAAGTTCGTGAACTCGACGCCGCAGACGACGCCGTGGGGCGTGTGGCTGACGACGAAGTGGCCGCAGCGCGGCTTGGGCTTTCGAGCTTCGCAGCCGGCGTAGCCGCGCACGCGGATGTTCCTCGACAAGCTCGCGACCTCCGCGGCGAAGGGCCGCTCGCCGCCGTGCGGGAAGGCGAGGGGCGCGTCGAGCGCCAGCGTCGCGCCGTCGGTGTTCGCGACGGTCCGGACCTCGTTCTGCGCGTCGTCCCAGTCCGTGGACGCGACGACGACGCGGGAGCCCTTGGCAAACGGCGGCGCGCCGGCCGCGCCGTCGAGCGCGACGGCGGACGCGCCCGCCGGCGCGGACGACGCGAGCCGGGCCCAGGTCGTCCGCGGGACGTCGCCGTTCAGCACGGCGGCCCGGTCCGCGAACGCGCGCGCGTCGCCGCACGCCGCGCCGCGGAGGAAGACGAGTCCGCCGAAGACCGCGAACGCCGACGACCCGTAGTCGATGCCGTCGGCGTCGAGGGTCGCGCCCTCGGTCAGCACGACGTCCAATTTTGCGGCGCGCGGCGCCTCCAGCGTGCCGGCGCTGAAGGTCCCGCAGACGTAGACGAACGGCGCGGTCAGCGTCGCGTCCCTATCGGCGAAGGCGAGCTCGCCCTCGACCCGCAGGCCGGCGGGCGCCGCGACGTCGCCGCCGTCGACGACGACGCGCGTGCCGCAGGGGATCGTCGCCGCGCCGGATTTCGCGAACGCGTCCCAGGACAGCGTCGTCGGCGACGCGCCGCGCCGCATGCTCGGCGGGCAGGGCAGACCCGGGTCGCAGTAGCCGCAGCACGGCACCGCGTCGCCGAGGGCCGCGCGCGAGTCGTGCAGCGCATTCTCGACGCCGCGGCAGACGAGCGCCGCGCCCAGGAGGATGACGCCGCGCATGGTCACGCAGTCATGTGCTCATCGCGCCCTTTTAATCTTCAATATTTGTTCAATCATCGATGTTGAACACACCGTCCGCACGCATGCGTTATGTTGAGCTGACTTGAGCTGAGGGGTTCCGGGGAGGACAACTTAACCCGCGTTGATCCTAGCCCTCAGAAACCGACGCGTTTGGACGCGTGGAACAGGCCCTCGAATTAAGTGCGAACATTTTTCTAAGAAATTTGCGCATTCGTCCCCGCCAGCACTCTGGAATTTTCCACCGCGCGTCGCCATCGGTAAGATTTTGCTTACTTGGACCACCAACCGCTTCCGACGGCGGGCGCCGTAAGCTCACCGCGGCCGGTGAATTAAGTGTGAGGACCCCGGCTCGTAGCAAGCAAACGCGTGTGGGTTAATTTATTGAAGTAGTAATCGAAAACCTCATCGAAATCGTACAAAACTGCATCGTTTCGACCGTCGGATAACGCTGCGATGATGTGATGCGCCGGCGCCGCGCCGTTTTGCGCTAGGTGGTGCACGAAAAGCGCGCGTGCTGCGCCGGACAGCGACGCCGGGGTTCGAGAGCGCAAAACATCCTGCTGGCGGCCTTCCGCGGCGAGACTGTCGATCACTGCGACTGCGGGGCGCGCCCCCACTCGATTTTTGCATCCCCGGGTTCATATGCCGTGACAGCTGGCATGGGGCAACTCATCACCTGTCTACGGTCGCCCTGCGACTGAATTAGGTTCGAAACTCCCCCGCGCGCGCGACGACGACGACGACGGCGGCGGCGGCGGCGGCGGCGGCGGCGGCGGCGGCGGCGACGACGACGACGACGACGACCGACCGACCGACCGACTGGCCCAGAAAATAGGTGCCAGGAACTAGCCCGGGACCCAGGGGAAGTCACCCGAGGTCCCCCCGAGTACGCCCCAGTCGGTTTGGTTTAAATTTTACCACCCCAGACCCCAAAGCCCGAGTTCACTCGTTCGTCGCCTCTAGAAGCACCAAGGGCCGTCCATCCCGGCCGGGCGGTCGGACGCCGAAGCGCAGGACCGCCGCGCGCGCGCCGATTCCCCCGCGCCGTCGCGCGGACGCTACCGTCGTTAGTGCACAGGGGGGGTCGGGGGCGGCCGAACGCGGCCTCCCCCGCGGCGGTGTCCGATATGGATCACTTGAACTTGTCCTCGAGGGACGCGAGCGTGGCCTTGAGCGTCTTGCGCGCGGTGAGGCGGCTCTTCTCCTTGTTGACCATGTCCAAAAACAGGTCGAGGCGGTCCGCGTGGCTCTCCGCCTGGAGCAGGGTCTGGATGCCCCGCGTCTGCTCGTCGACGAGGGGCGCGACGTCGTCCATGACGCGCTCGCGCAGGTTCTTCACGTCGCGCTGCAGGTTCGGCGGGAGCTCGCTGAGGTTTACGGACTGCGGCAGCTCGCCGGCCTTGGCCTCGCCGCCGCTCTTGTCCGTGAGGTACTTGATGAGGCGGTTCTGCACGTCCTGCTGGACCTTGCGCCCCGCGGCCTGGGCGCGCGCGTCGAGGAACGACTTCCACAGCTCGACGACGCCCCAGAGGCTGCCGCTGCCCACGCCCCTCCCCGCGTCGAGCTTCTGCACGGCGTCGCGGGAGAAGCGCACGTCCTCCTTGCCGTCCTCCTGCATGGCCGCGACCTCGAAGAGCGCCGCCATGACGTCGGCCTCGCCCGCGGCGGGCGCCTTGTCCGCGTCCTCGGCCGGCTCGTCGTCGTCCGTCAGCTCCGAGACCTCGCACTTCATGTAGGTCTCGCGCGTCGCCGAGTCGCCGGGGTTGAGGATGGCGTGGATGGCGACGCGCGTGTCCAGCACCTTGTGGGAGCAGACGTACTTGACCGCGTCGTTCGTCTGCTGCGACACCTCCTTGAGGTCCTCGAGGTACAGAACGACGCCGACCTCCGCGAGCTCGCCCTCGCCGTCCGGGTTCACCATGGTCGTCACGAAGCGCCGCGACCCGCTCATGAGGATGTCGGAGTACATCTTCCGATACCGCGGCTCGAAGATGTTGAGCACCTGCGTGCTGCCCGGCGTGTACCTGCGCCGGGCGGTTTCGCGAGGCCGCGCGCGCGTCTTTCACAAGCGTCGAAACGCCGGGGCCGCGCGCGACGTTGCCGAGGGGGAAGAGCGGCAGCACCATGGAGTCGGGCCGCGACTGCTCCCGGTCCGGCCGCGACGGGTTGATCGGCGGCAGCCAGCGGATGGCGTCGTGGTGCTCGTCGACCTCCATGGACAGGGCCGCCCGCGGCGCGCGCCGCGGACTCCGAGGCAGCGTCCGACTCCTGGGCGCGTAGGCGGCCACGCAGGCCGCCGAGAGGAGCGCGAGCTGGGCCGCGCGACCTGGCATCGTGGCAGAGATATGGGCCCAGAGCCTGTGTGTGCTGGCCAATCTCTTGAGCGTCTCTGGCCAATCGAAGATTCGGTGGCAATGTTGCCGACGCCTTGGCCGTGTTGCGGACTCGGACGCGCTGGCTGGCGGCGACTCCGCGCGGGCGTAGCGCGGCTTCACTCCGTTAGTCCAGCAGTCTCGCCGCGGCCGCCGGACACCAGCGCCTGCGAGCGATCGCCGTCTGCGAGGCCGCGCGCGCGGAGTTCGGGCGCGTCGATTTGTGCGGCGCACATCTCCACCGGTACTCGGAGCCGCGGAGGGCCTTCCTTCCCGGAGGGAACCTCGGCGGTCGGCGTCGACGCGCGCGGGCCGCGTTCGCCGAAGGTGCCGTCCTTGAACATCTCCAAAGCTGAGCCGTCCACTTGAGGACACCGCATCGATCCGCCGCCGAAGCTGCCACGACTCTCGGTACGATGCTCAAGTCGATGCTCAGCCTGACCCTCGCCCTGCGCTCCGCGGCCCTCGTGCCGCGCGTGGCGCAGCACCCGCGCCGCGCGACCATCCGCATGATGAGCGACGAGAAGGTCGCCGACTTCAGCAAGATCGACCTGCGCGTCGGGACCATCGTGAGCGCCTGGAACCACCCGGACAGCGACAAGCTCATCGTCGAGGAGATCGACATCGGCGAGGACGAGCCGCGCCAGATCGTCAGCGGCCTCCGCGCGTTCTACGAGGCCGACGCGCTGGCCGGCAAGAAGTGCGTCGTCGTCGCGAATTTGCCCAAGGCCAAGCTCGGGGGCGTCGACTCCTTCGGCATGGTCCTCTGCGGCTCCAAGGACGAGAAGGCCGTCGTCGAGATCCTCGAGCCGCCGGCCGAGGCCGAGGACGGCGAGCGCGCGTTCGTCGACGGCGCCGACGGCGACGCCGCGACCGCGAACCAGGTCAAGAAGAAGAAGTTCTGGCCGCCCGTCGCCGAGAAGCTCGCGATGGCGGGGGGCGTCGCGACCTTCGACGGCCAGGCCATCTCCACGTCCGAGGGGCCCTGCACGTGCCCGTCCATCGCCGAGGGCGGATTGTCGTAGAGGACGACGGGAGAGCCGCGTGCGTAACCATGATGAGCGCGGCGGGCTACTTCCGCCGAGAGCGCCGCTCGTAAGTCGCGCCATGATTAGGGCGGGGGGTTACTTCTTAGGCGGCGGCGGCCGGGCCGCGTTCTTGGGACCCTTCTTCCGCCGCTGCTTCTTCTTCGCGGGCCCGCCGGCGGCCTTGGGCGGCTCGAAGACCTTGTCGTCGCCGCCCCGCTGCTTCCGCTTCTCCTTCCGCGGCGGCCCCTCGTCCTTGTGCGGCTGGTCGCCGTCCCACTGGAAGCGCGGCTGGTCGAGGAGCGCCTTGGGGTCGAATTCCCGCGGCGCGAGCGCCGCGCCGGAGAGGCACCGCTTCGCGAGCGCGCGGACGCGCGGGTCGTAGTGGCGCGCCAGGGGCAGCAGCTCGAAGGCCGGCGTACCCAGCGCGCCGCAGCGCTCGAGCGTCGGCGCGCGCGCGTCGTAGGGCGGCAGCGTCGCGTAGGGCCCGCGCGCCTCGTCGTCGTCGAGGAGGCTGTCCGCGGTCTTCGCCGTCGCCAGCGCCTTGCGCGCCGTCCCCAGGAAGGCCAGCGCCGCCGCGTTGTCGTCGCGGTGCAGCGCGAAGAGCAGCGACCGCCGCAGGAGCGCCGCGGCGCGCGCCGCCGGCGCCGCGTCCGTCGCGTCGCGCGCGAGGCACTCGAGCGCCGCCCGGTCGTCGCCGCCGCCGTCCGCCGCGACGCGCAGCAGCGCGCGGAAGACGCCGTCGTGGAACCGGTCGTCGTCGAGGTCGAGCACGGCGCCGTCGCCGGCCGTCGTCGCGAGCGCCGCGCGCGCGCACTCGAGCGCGCACGCCGCGTCGAGCGTCTCGAGGCCCGCCAACGTCCGGACCCGCTCCAGACACCCGGAGATGACGTCGACGTTCGCGGACCGCGAGATGCGCTGCAGGCCGCGGAGCGCCGCGGGCAGCAACGCGCGGGCCTTGGTCGCGACGTGGCTCCTCGCCTTGTCCTGGGACTCGTCGGCCGCCGCCGATACGACGCGCCCGACGACGAGGCCGACCTCGTGGATGATGAGGCGCTGCGTGCGCCGCCACTCCGCGCCGTCGACGACGGCCTCGCTGAGCTTGAGGTCCCGCGCGGCGGCCTGCCGCTCCTCGAACGTCACGCCTTTGCGCTTCTTGGCTTTGGCGGGCTGCTTCCTGAGCGCCTTCGCCGCGAGGTGCTTCTTCTCCAGAAAGGCCTCGTCGTCCATGGCCTTGGCGAGCTTGGCGTCGTCGGCGAGGAGCGCGACGGGCCCGTCGCTCCGCAGCCGGCACGACTTGTCCCGCACGAGTTTGGCGACCGCCCGCGCGACGACGAGCGTCACGTCGCCGGACGCGTCGTCGCGCAGGGCGCGCCGGAGCGCGTCCAGGGCGTTCCGGCGCACGGCGGCGTCGGCGTGGTCCGCCTTGGGCGCGAGGAGCGCCAGCAGGTCGTCGCGGAAGTTGAAGTGCGGCCGCCCCGCGAAGAACGCTCCCAGACACTTCACCGCCGCGGGCGTCAGCGCGTCGCCGTCGCCCGCGCAGGACGCGCGCAGGAGCCGCAGGTGCGCCGTGTACGCGCGCAGCAGCCGCTCCTCGCGGTCCCGGAGCTCCTTGACCTCCTTGGTCTGCGGCTGGGCCTTCTCCGCCGCCGTCGCGACGCGGACGCGGTAGGCCGGCAGGACGTCGAGGAAGACGGCGCACTGGCTCAACAGGGCGCGCCGGCGCCGCGGCAGCGCGAGGCCGCCGGCGCCCGCCGCGCGCTCGTGCAGCTGCTGGAAGAGGGAGCTCGACGACCCCTCGGCCTTGCGCAGCGCCGCGGTCGGGTCCGCCGTGATGCCCTCGCAGATCACCGCGAGCTCCGCGTTGAACCGCTCGTCCGACGGCATCGGACTGAAGGCGAGCGGAGTTGTGTTGGCTCGGAGGCTCGGAAGCTCGCTCAGAGGCCCGATAGCTCGCACATCGCCCGCCGGCTTTGGCTGATGTTTGCCGTGCAGGCTGCCCGATGGTCGATGGCGCCAGTCCTGCCGAGGGCGCCATGGTCGACGTCGGCGGCAGCCCGACCAAGAGCCCGCGGCCGCGGTCGCGCTTCCGCAACATCACGCGCGTGCAGAACCGCTGCTCCTTCGCGCTGGCGCAGGGCTCGCCGCTCAAGACGCTGGAGAGCGCCGACAGTCCGTCGCGGCGCGCGTCGAAAACCTCCGACGCCTCGGACTCGGAGATCGGCGACGCCAAGTGGCAGGCGGGCTTCGACGCGCGCCTGAGCGCGCTCGAGGCGTCGCTGGATCGCTGGAGCCGGCGGGCCATCGCCGCGGAGCGCCGCGAGACCGTCGCGGTGACGGCGGCGGCGACGCAGGAGCGGCGCGCCGTCGAGGCCGAGAAGCGGTTCTTCGCCCAGCGGCGCCGCGCCGACGAGCTCGAGCACCAGCGGTCGTCGCCGGCCTGCGACGGCGCCTGCGAGACCGCGCGGGCGCTGCGGCGCGAGCTCGCGGCGCTCAAGGCGACGCTGCAGCGCAACCGCGACCACCTCAAGGACGTCGAGGCGCAGCTCATCGAGGCCAAGGTCGGCCACGCCCAGTCCCAGACCGACCTCGACCACGCTCGCAAGGCCGCGCGCGCGCCGAAGGCGCGCGACTGGGGCGCCGCGCGGCGCCGGAGCCGGAGCCTGTCCCTCGTGGACATCCTGCGGAGCCCCTCCGCGGCGCTCAGAGTCTTCGACGACGCCGACGCCGCCCCGAGGCACGCCCAGGTGCGGCCGCCCGTCGCGACGCCCACGCGGACCTCGCCCTCGTCGCGCCTCTTCGCGAGCGCCGAGTCGTAACACGTTACGTTCTAGGCGAGGCGGGATTTTAGCTAGAGGGCCTCCCCCAAGGGATGTACGCGGCACCAGGCCTTGCGGCTGCCGGACCCGGGCCCGGGGAGGAATCCAAGTTCAAGGTGGCTTCAATCCGAAACCTAAAAGCCCGCGGGCAGCTTTCTCGCGCGCCATGGTCTCGTCCGACGACGAGGACGACGAGGAGGTGGAGGAGACGCCGTACGTGTCCCCGACGACGCGGAAGCGCGGGAACGTCGCGGCGGACGCGCGCCTCGCCGCCGGCGCGGCCGTGAGGCGCAAGTTCCACGGCTACGGCCAAACGCTCTGGGACGGCCGCGTCGACCGCGTCGGCGACGCCGACTTCGTCGTGACCTGGGCCAGCGACGGCAGCGAGACGACGCACCGCATCAACGACGCGCCGGCCATGCTGGACCTCGCGGAGGCGCCCGCGAAGGCGACGCGCCCGCCGCCGGACACGGCGGGTCTGGTCGTCGGCGCTCCCGTGAAGAAGAAGTTCCGCGGCTACGGCGCGCAGCTCTGGTCCGGCGAGGTCACGGCCGTCGACGAGGCCGCGGGGACCTTCGACACGCTCTGGGAGGACGGCGAGGAGCTGACCCACGACGCCAAGGACGCGCGCGCGATGCTCGACGCGGCCGCGGCGCCGCCGCCGAAGAAGAAGCCCGCGGCGAAGCCCGCCGCGAAGCCCGCGGCGAAGCCCGCCGCCGCGAAGCCCCGGGCCGCGAAGAAGCCCGCGCCCAAGTGCGAGTTCATGTACGACGCGCCGCCCGAGCCCGAGCCTCCCGCCGCCCGCGCGTCCCGCGCCGGCCGGCCGCGCCTCCCGCCCCCGCCTCCCGGCGGGAAGCGGAAGCGCACGGAGCCGCGGCCCGGGGAGATGCCCGCGCTCAAGATCCAGACGATGCCCCACGAGCTCGGGGACGACGGCATCCCCGCGCACTGGAAGGAGCTGAGCATGTGCGCCTGCATCTACTGCATGCGCGCGCGCGGCTTCCAGCCCGCGTTCATCAAGGAGTAAGGGCTTAGGTCGCCGCCTTGCGGGCCCGGAGCTCGTCGGCCGGCGGCGCGGGCTCGGGCACGGGCAGCCACGGCGCGACGGCGCCGAGGAGGATCTGCCAGCCGGGGACGGAGAACCGGTCCTCCTGGAAGTCCACGAGGCCCGCGTCGTCGAGGCGGAGGTCCGTGTAGACGACGTAGGGCTTGAAGGTGAGGCCCGGCCCGACCTTGACGCCGCCGGAGAGGCGCCACTCGACCTCGACGCGCCGCGCGCCGTCCGCCGCCGGTTCGCACGAGATGACCTCGCACCGCGCGTCGTCGTCGAAGAGCCGCGCGACGCCCGACGCGTACGTGTCGATGCCCGTCAGCTGCACGTCGGGGTCCTTGAACTCGAAGCCGTCGGCGAAGAGGTTCGGGAGCACCCGGCCGGTGACGAACCACTCGCGCTCGCGGAGCCCCGCGTCGAGCGCCTCCGCCATGGCCGGCAGAGCCAGCGGCGTCTTCGCCGCCGCGAAGTCGACGCCGTCGATGACGACCTCCTCCGGCTTCGGGATGAACCGGCCGAGGAGGGCCGTGACGGGATTCACGTAGTCCTCGCCGCCGTCGCCGGCGCCGGCGCGCGCGGCGGTCCGCCGCGAGCGGCCGGCCGCCGCGGGCAGGAGCGCCGCGGTCCTCGGTGCGAGCAGAGCGAGCACGACGCACAGTCGCATCGTCAGCACTCAACTAGACGAGGTTTTTGCAGCGCAAGAGGCCTGCCTAATGGCTCCCCATGCTCTCACGCGATGCGTCAACTTTGAAGAGCTTGAAGGGAAACATGGGGTAAAGTCGGGCTCAAAACACGCGCTCACAGCGTCGCGAGCTTCGCCTCGACGGCGGCGAGGCGCGCCTCGAGGGCGGCGATGGTCGCCTGCTGCGCGCCGATGGTCGCCTGCTGCTCCTGTATGGCCCGCGCGGCGATGACGGCGACGCGATCGTACATGAGGCTCTTGTAGCCGTGTTCGTCCGTGGAGACGATCTCGGGCACGACGGCCTCGACGTCCTGGGCGATGAAGCCGAGCTGCTTCCGCCGGTCGCCGGCGCTCGGCGCGCCCTCGGCCCAGTAGAACTCGACGGGCGCGAGCCGGCCGATGGCCTCGAGGCCGTAGGGCGCCGTCGTCACGTTGACCTTGTAGCGCG